CTGCTGCTTTGTCAGACATATTTAATTTAATTTGAAGCCTTATCAACACAAACTGGCTTCTTTCACTTCCTCCACTGCCGAATGCTAAAACAACAAGCAGACACTGCGCAGAAAATTGACGTTCTGTTCTCTGATTGGTTCGGCTAAATATCTGCCAGTGAAATCCTTGTCTATGGGAGAAATCCCAGACGGAGCAGAGAAGGAAACTAGAATTGAGCGGAGCTGCGTAGGAGCCAGGCTACAAATCTGTGCTTGTCAGTAATTTTATTCTGAATAAAAGCCTGGTGCATGTAAACGCTTGTCATGATCAAATGAATTCATGTTGTGCCCATGTAAACGATACATTCGGATGATTTAATCCGATTACATTTCAAACTGATCAGAGAACTCTGCACATGTAAACATGGTTAATGTCCTTATGTTTAAGGGTTGATACCATCAGACTCTTTACTTTCCTCTTCTCTTTGTCTCCTGGCAAGTTTCCCTCCTCCATGGTCTTTGACAATAGGGCAGTTRCCACTGGCACCTTGTTTTTCAACAGCACTGGTGGTGGTCGTTGACCCAGGTTTTGACTGATCCAGTATGGTGACACTCGGATGAACTCATGTTTGTTTTGGCAAAAGTGTTTTTACACCAGTTGTTCTTCCTGATGCAACCCTCACTATTTACCCGAGCTTGGGACTGGCACAAGAAATACACAGACCTATAGAGGCTGGTTTCTGCCGACTAAACTGCCAAAAATAGATTTAACTCAGTCAGTTTTACAGATATTGACTGAAAGTTTGGTGACTGTATCTGAGAATCATCCCAAACACATATTCAGAACCTTTGTTTTAAAATTTTCCATTCACTATTTGCAGTTCATTTAATCTATTATTTCTAAATATTTAATGAACCACTGTAAAACCTTTGAAGCCAACCAATCTTAAGGTTGCTGCCATACTCAACAACAAAAAAAATAATGATCTGAAAATATTGTGCTGACATTTGGTTAGGTTATAACTTGATTCCCAACATATTCTCTGAGTGATACGTATTGTGCAACATATTTGCCTAAAATTAAATAATATTATAGCCATCCCTGTAGATAAAATATCTCATGAACCACTTAATGGAACTTTCAGAAAGTAATCACTGTCTGTGCATCTACAACTAATTCACTTTCAGTCACTCCAAATTAAGATGGCTGTCACAACTAATTGGCATTAGTCAACACAAATTGGACACAACTCCAGTCAATGTTATGGAAACTGAGCTAAAATTTGACATGGTATTAGAATGTCATTCTCAACCAGTGGTGGGCAGCGCCAATCCAAAAATCAGCTCCGCAATTTCTAAATCACTTATAAAAATATTTGGGTCCGTCACTTCAAAACTGCTTATGCCATAGAAAAACTAGTAGAAGCTAATTTTAAAGCGCAAGTCACAATTCATGTACAATATATGCATAACACTGCCAATTAGCGGTTTATGAATTCTTTTACAACTTAATTCTGCAACCACCAATTGCTGGGGATGTGATTTCCTTAAACAGAACTTTGGCTCCTGGTGTAAAAATTAAAACGTTTTTGAGGATTACTAGTTCAGCTGCTTCTTTGTCTTTTTCTTCTGTTTATTTGTAGCTTTTTCATTAAAGAAGCATCATTAAAGTAATTTTAAAACTGTTTATTGGAAAACTGAAGCGATGCATTCTGGGTACATGATGGACTGACGGGAAACAAAAGCACYGTGAACAGGAAACTAGTATCTTCCCTTCAAAATAAGAGCTTGGATTTTAAAGTTTTTCATGTTTCCGTTGGATTTTAAAGTTTTCCAGTCCACCTGAAACTCATCAGACTGAAGAAGTCTCTTGAAGGAGAGACAAAACCTTTTACTAAAGAAGAACCATCCAGAGGACCTACCGTACTTATTTTTTCTTTTTGATTTTTTTTCTACCTGGATCAGGACGTTTTCCATGTAGTTGTTCCAGTTGACCACTAGATGTCAGTCTTCACCAGCATAACATCTTTAAATCATTTCTGAGTCTCTAGCACAGTTGGCTGATTGCTTTTGAGCTCCATCGTTTAAACTTTTTTTTTTTAAAAAGGAGCTCCGATTGTAAAGTAAAATAAATCAATACATACAAAATTCTAGTATGGATTACAAATGTTTACTGTTTTTGCTATTGCCTTCCTGCTACGTAAGCAG